TTTTTTTTTTTTTCACTTGTATTGTAAAAACTTTAACAAACGGTTGTTTTTTTTTTTTTTTATTAATAAAATGTATTACGACAAGACAAGTTGTTGTTTTCCTAGATCAATTTTATTTCAATTGTTATCACGACCTTGTAATTGTTATCACCATGGTATTATTTGAATGAGGAAAGAAAAAAAAATTCTTTGTAAATTTTCCTCTTATTTGCTGAACTCTGAATCATACTACCATTAATTCTATTCGAGATACTTGTTTATGAGATGACTCATATTTCAAATCTATCAGTGCCAATCGCTAGACTGCAGATTTTATGCAAATTTATATTTTCAACTAAAGAAATAGAATCAAGATCGAAGATTAGATTTGTATCATCTTCTAAGAGTAGCAAAAATTGTTTCGTATATATTCCATTATGTGCGTACATTTTTTATATAAAAAAAAAAAATGTGTAATTTAAAATCTGTCCTTAAAAAGATCCTTATATAAAGAAAAGAAGAAACGAATTATATTTTCTTTTTTATTATTTCTATTTTTTGTTTCATTAATTGATTTTTATCAATTAAATTTGTGTCTTTTGTTTTCATTTTACTTTTATCTAATTTTATAAGAATCACTCTGTACATTTTATCCTTGAACACGTAATCATCCCAGATACTTTTATGTTCGCTTTCCTGTAAGTCGTTATGCGTGTGATCTTCGTAAAATTTCTTAAAACGTAAAATATTCTTGTAACCGTATTTGTTTCCAGAATTCTGTTCGTCTTCACTCGATTCGGAATAATCTTTATCGTTATCAGTGTTCTCGATATCTGATTCGTCGGTGTTGATATCTTTTCTTTCTGTATTTTTTGATTCTATCATCGGATAAATCGTAAAGGAACACGATTAATAAATTTATTTATAAAGATTATCATGATATTAACGTTTATGATTCATATTACACGATATACCTTGGGCAGAATTTCTTAACATCAGCTCCAATAGTGACTGAAAGGATTGAAACACTTATTTTCTTTTATCATTGTGTCATAATTGCGATAATCATTACCTCTAGTTGGTTTGTAAAATCCGCAGAATCTGATTTATGCATCATTGAGTTTTCAAAGATTAATTTATTATGTAGAATGATTGGTTCCGGATTGATTGATTAATTTAGAATTAAATATTTGTTACATTTTGCTTTATTTTGTTAAAAAAATTATGGTTGGATTTGGTTAGCGGATTAGATGAAGGAAGAATGACAAATTGGTTGGTTGGTTCATCGATATAATAGTTCATTGTTTCGATTCTGAATATCTCGTTATAAATTTAGCGCGAAGTTTCAAAGTGCAAAATTCTTAGCTTGAATAAACTATGTTTCGTAACACTGTTGCTAATTTCTAAAATATTACATCATTTTATTATCTTTGCTCTCTATATATTGAAAATATGATTTTTATTTTTTAATATAACCTAATTATATCTATCGTTGTAAAAAAAAAAGATAGAATAGATTATTAATAAATAAAATAATGACTAGACACGTAAGTGTTGAAGTGTTACGTAATTTCAAATATTTTCCCATTTTCGTAATCGAGTCATGCCATTTCAGTCACGTGAATACGTAACACGTACCATTAACTCCATCTAGTAACACTTTATGTTCAATTCCTCAGCGGAACTGATTCACTCCAACGATAACATTGTCACGTTTTAATTTAGTATATTCCAAAATAAAACGCACATCATAGAAAATACAGTTTATATAATAATGATATATACATATGTATCGCTATTATTATTTTAATGCCTTTGAAACGAACCTACATTTTTACATCATGCTTCTTCTCGTCTATATGTCACTAAACATAGCAACATTTAGTGACTTTTCGCTTGTTTCATATAGTAACCTAGAAAAAACTTAAACCTGTCATATAAATCATCTCAGTATAATAATCATTTAATAAGAAACAATAGGAATTTCACTCGTAAATCGATTTACGAGTGTCGAAAAGTGGAAAAATACGATTATCGACTGGAGGAGTCCCCATATCGAATCTCTTCATGACGTGTCAAACTTTTTCCCACTGCACCGTTCTCTTGCAACGATTGGTCCCTAGTGTGCTCATGATAGTTCTTATTGGACAACAGTGATGTGTTTTATACGTATACCGTTCAACCAGGCGCGGAATCTGAAGCGCTTTGGTACAGTGACGTGTTTAATCCCGCACTACCGACGTTCCAGCTTGCATTCCGCGGAGAAGGTTCACAGAAGTGAGGCAGTGCGGACGGTTTAGTGGTTTGGTTGCGTACAAAAACCTTGAGTATACGGATTTGAGAACATATCCTGCGAGAAAATTGGATTTGCCGATATATAAAGCAGTTTTCGCGTTCCAAGTGGAAGGTACAACAACACCGATTGTTTCAAGGAGGGTGAGTGGATATTTTCACGTTAATTTTCGTCCTCTGCCTCGCATCTATGTTACGATTCTAACCGGATTATATAATCGTAGATCGGGTTAATTCTAATCGTTTATCGAAGTGGGAATACGCGAAATTACGCCGCAGCTAACAAACACTACGAATCGATCGGACGTCCTAGCGACCGCATTCTACTATATACTGCAGTATCGTACAAAATATACTATTCCAGAAGGTTCCGATTCATTATATATTTCGATTGTGCGGTCGTTTTCTGCGCAAATTCGGTGTGCATCACAACGTTACATAGACGAATATACGGTAACGTGAGCCGGTTTGCAAAATTCAGTCACATGCGTTGATGCTGCGTGTTACGTAACGAGGTTAGTGTTAGCAACGTAAAAAGAACGTTTCGACGACGACTGTATCCCGCCTATCG